AGATAGATAGATAGATAGATAGATAGATAGATAGATAGATAGATAGATAGATAGATAGATAGATAGATAGATAGATAGATAGATAGATAGATAGACAGACATTTATTGTCATATGTGCAGCATAAAAAACAGCAGTTTAACACTGGGCAATGAAATTGTCTCATTGCACACTCGCATATATATAAAAGAATATAAATATATAAAAAACAAACAAACAAACAGAGACAGAAACTAAGGTGCATGTTGTCTGTATTATACATTATACATTGTGAGAAGAAAAAAAAAGGTCAAGTTAAGTCTGCAAAATTCCTTGTAGAAATGAAAGCCAGTCGTAAACAACCGAAAATCACAAATTTAGGGGAAGCAGAAAAAACTGAGATTCCTGTAATGACTTCCAGATTACTGCTAAAATTGTGTCATTATTCTGAAAAATTCTGAGTCATATTTACAGATACAGAAGTTACAATGACAAGATCTTCCAAGTTCTTCCTTCTTTGGAGAACACACTGTGTTTCTGTGCAACTTTGCCTTTGAAGCCTGTTGTAATACACGCTGTCGGGGTTTTACTGCATCGTCTACAGTCCTTAATGAGCGCTGCAATTAAACACAGGCAGTAATGAAATCAACGGGCTAAGACGTCATCTGGTGATAAGCCATTTCTTAAACAATTCTTTTTTGTAATTTGACGTGACGTGTCATTGTGAAAGAATTCTATGAAACATTAAATACAGACTGTCATGTCTGTAAAGTAACGTCCCGTCCACCCATCAGGTTGAAGTGAAATAATCGCGTGCGAATCACTGACTGATGGATTTATTGGTTAATCTGTAAGCCTTTAAGTGTACTTTCACCTTCGCGTAACATCACAGCAGCAGTTCTTTACTTTTTCTTTGGTCAAAGATGATTGATTTGGTCAATTAATCACTTCAGAGACAGAAAATGAAGCCTGCAGGTATTAACATTTTGCAGTGAATCATGTGAATGCTGACAGCTACAGCTTGTTTGCCTTCAACAAAAGGCCCGTTTGTGGCCGCTGGCTGGACGGAACATCAACGTCCACATTCTGCCTCACCTAAATGACGACCATGGTAATCACAGGAATGAGAATCTCGTGAGCTGAGCCCTCAAGGCTGCTGCTAATAATTACTGACTTCTTCTGTTGTTCACCAGACATTAAGACAGATGGAGAAGGATGTATGGACAGAGACAGATACACAGTCACACAGAGATCCTTTAATACGTGTTTTAACTTTTGTGCATTCAGCCGTCCATCCTTAATCTTTAAGTAATGCTGTGGTAAAAAACATTAAGGATTTGCTGAGCACTGGACTGAAAAACTCTGAGATGTATGATCCATTTTCTGTCAAGTTTTGCTTGCCACTATTTTTACCACAGTGTAATTTGTACTAATGCACCTTCATACAAAGCTCTCTGGCTAAACATTTCACCACTAGCCATCAATTTTGCAGCAGTTAGCTACACTTTCCTGCAGAGCTTTTTCTCTTTTAATGCGTCGACGACCAGCAGGAATCATACCATCAGGGTAAAAGCAAGCAGGGGAATCAGGGTCTACTGCCCTGTGTTGTTTTCTCTTCAGTTCACTCACTTCTTTCTGCACTTTGAACATGCTCCTGGTGTTCCTGACAAACAGTCTCAGCCTCTTTCAGCTGGTTAATTCCATTTTAAATCTTCATAAAAAAAAGTGTTTTTTCACTCTCTATCAACGTAGAGTTTTGACCAATGAAGAAGTGATTATGATTTAACTTCTTTAAGAATAGATCTTAAATAGGGTGACAAACAAAGAGAGACAGAGAATGGCAGAGGGGCTCTTCAACATACCACAATGACTTCTCCACAATCTTGGTCCTGAACACTTCTTCTTGGTCCAGGTTGACAGTGCAGTAACAGTCCCTCATCTTGTTTGGCCCCGGGTAAGGAGGGATGTTTTTTGCTTCTCCTGCACAAAAAAAGGAAGGAAGTTAAAAAAGCAGTTATTATTTAGGAATGCTGCTGTAGCAAAAAATAAATGTGTTTATTCAGGCTATGAATGATTACTTATTTAGGAACACAGATAGCACACAAAGTATAAAAAAATAGCATTTCTGTAAGTTGCATGAGGTGGTTGTACCACTCTTTAAACCACACTTTCATTGTCATTACATCACCAAATCCAACAGCACATATAATGAGATTAACTTAGCCGGAGTGACTGCTTTTAACACTGGACACAAACAACAGAGTGGCACATAAAAAAAAAAAAGAAAAAACTGTTTGTTTTGTTGTGTGCTCTGTTGTCACATCTGTGAATGAGAGAATCTGCGTGGGACATTTCCTGAATTCTGCTGCAGTTCAATCTGTTCATCAAACATGTGTGACAGACAGCACTCCCTTTCACAGGAATGTGGTCCAACCACCCACCGAGACGCACACACACAAACACGCACAGACCACGAAGGTGGTGCCTCGGTCCCGCGGGACCAATATACTCTCCTTTATGAAGCCGTGCATCCATGCTAGTCTGGGCTCTGTTCCTTGTTTCTGTTTCCCTTCGCCCTGGGGACCCACAGCACCGTGTCATCTACAGTTACACATGTGTTAACCAACATTGTCAGCGTTTGCTCCAATAACGCTCCATTATCTGCAAGGGAATCTGACACGGCTAAGCAGATTTTTTTGCACTGTTATTTCTGGCTTTAAATGAGTGACTCCTGCGGCGAAAGCATGAATCGATGGGTGGGTGCTGCTGTTTGCAAAATTACATCTTTATCTTTAACACAATGGTTCCTCACTTTTAGTCTTTCATCCTGTGAAATGAAGTACTTCTAAAGAGTTTAAGAGACCTGGTGAGGTAAAGTGTCTAGAATATCACAAGAAAAAGTATTAAAATTACTAAAAAATCTGAAGAGAAAAACGGGCTGCGTGGTGACGCAGTAGTTAGCACCATTGCCTCACAGCTAGAAGGTCGCTGGTTCACGTCCCAGTGAGGATCTTTCTACATGGAGTTTACATGTTCTCCCCATGCAGCGTGGGTTCTCTCTGGGTTCCCCGGCTTCCTCTCACAAGTCCAAAAAACATGTTGAGGTCAATTGTTGATTCTAAATTGTCCGTAGGTGTGAATGTGAGTGTGCTTGGTTGTCTGTCTCTAAGTGTAGCCCTGTGATAGACTGGTGACCTGTCCAGGGTGTCCCCTGCCTTCGCCCTAAGTCAGCTGGGATAGGCTCCAGCCCCCCGCGACCCTAGTGAGGATTAAGCAGTGTATAGATAATGGATGGATGAAGAGAAAAACATTGTAACAAAACAAAATATATAAAAACATCTATATTTTTTCTTATTCTTTCCTTAAATCCTCTTGTGACCCCTTGAATTCTTATCTTAAGAAACAAATCCCACTGTAAGAGCCACTGCTATAGAAAAATCTGTGCAACTTCAAACCTTAATTCTGTCTGTCAGAGGAAAGCGTTTCTGTTGCTGCACCAGGAAACAGTTCAGATGCCCTATGCAGCAGAAGTCTTTGCTATTATAAAGACTGCTGTGTTTCCGACCCTGCAGCTGACCCTGGAGGGGAGAGAGTTGACATTTGACACTGGATAACCGGCTGTGAAACAGACAGCAACCTACAGATTACGGAAGTCATCTTTCTTATCCGTACATCAGCCACTTAATGCAGCAGTCCCACTGGACATTTCACTCAATTTACACTCTCAACATCAATAAATACTCTTTTTTTTGCCACCTCATATGAATCCAATGAATGAGAAACATTCCACCACTTCGTACCCGAGAACTACATCTTATCACAGAACCGGTTTACTCTTCGAGAAAGGAAAGATGGTGTCGCAACAATGAAAATGCATCATGTGCAAGGCTGTGCAAGAGGTGAGTAATCACATCAGTCACGTAGCACAACATGCAATTAAACTGTTTGGAGAAAACCTGTGATTTATTTACGCACTGGTGGGCTTTCTGTGGCACCGCAAGATCAACCGGTTAAGGAAGTCCTGGGCTGAGATGTCACCATTTAAAAGATGCATCAGTTGATAAATCCCACAAGAACCAACAACACAGACCAACAAATAGTTCATCCTCCTACCAGCTGCTTTCTTCTTTCTTGCAGCCAAAGATTGATCTAGTGTATTCCTTAGAAGTGGACTAAAACACTAGAGCGCAACTATTCAGCCATCAAACAACTAGCTCTGAGTATTGTTTTTTATTTGTTTTCTTATTTTGTTTTGCCGTTATGTGGTAAACACAGTGAGGAGAGACCAGAATATAGCAGAGCAGTCCATGTAACATGCACTTTAAGAGTTTGGCTTTAGGGTCACCCTTAGTTTTAGTCTTTTAACCCTCTCAACCCTCAATACTATATTATCTGTTGAAAAACATGCCAAAATGACACCATTTATCAGAGCCTGAAACTGTGAAAAAAAGAATAGAACCTCAGATTTTCAACTTTCTGACTGTTTGTGAACAACTAATCAAATGTGATGTGGCATTCCAGCAGGAAAAAATAACCAAATCTATCCTTATAATCACTTTATTCTACACATCTCATTTTAAAACTTTGCCAAAAATATACTATTTGCACAAACCAGATTTGTAAAAAAAAAACAACCTCCCAAAAAAACCCAGCAACAACAAAAAATCTACGTTCCTTCGCAGTCATTAGTGACTCAGCTGCGACCAACAATCATGGGTAAAATTCAGGGACTGTTTTGACTGAACTAGGCTGAACTGCAGGCTGTGTTTATACAGAGCAAATAGGAAACGAGTATGGAATTAAATCTACAATGTAAATAATTAACATGTATAGTATGTAGGGCCACCATTTTTTTTTCAGTATTCGACACTTTGCATTTTTGGGATAATGAATAAACGAATAATTCAACTTTCATGTTATCATTTTCGACCTGTCCAGGGTGTCCCCTGCCTTCGCCCTAAGTCAGCTGGGATACACTCCAGCGCCCCGCGACCCTAGTGAGGATTAAGCAGTGTATAGATAATGGATGGATGAAGAGAAAAACATTGTAACAAAACAAAATATATAAAAACATCTATATCCAGAAACTGCTTGGAGTTCAGAGGGTTCATGTGATTTGTTGACCATACCAAATGCCTTTTGGCTTCTTCACAGAATGCTATTGTTACCAGAAAGTCTTTGCAAAATCCATAATTTGCCAACAGGAAACTCTCCAGTATTGTTACCTTTGATGCCACACAGAGAACAAATGTAAAACACTGGCTCAGACGAACAGAGGCGATGAAGTGCCCTCTGTGGGGTTTGAAATCCAACACAGTGTTATGACTGCTCCTCTAGAGACTGATTCATGCACCGCGCAAATCATTACACAACAATTCACAATAATAACACTCATTCACAAATCAAGAAGACACCTGAGTTGCACCGCACCGCACAGCACAGCACAGCACAGCACTCCACCACTTGGACTTGTTGTTGCAGATTGCATCTCTGTCTGTGTTTACGTGGGAGATGACGTAACTCTCTCTTATCTCTGTCTTTATCCCTTCACTTCCCACTGTTATTAGATCTCCCGCCTGTCTTCTCTTCTTGTCCTCTGCGTCTGTCTCTCGTTTATTCTACTATATTTATTCTATCTGCATCCCATAATCCTCCTCATTCACCCTCCAATCTCTGTTTTCCTCCCGCTCTCATTCATGACCTGTGAGCTCCCCTCAGTGGACTTGCAACCGTCCAGGTCATCCTAACCAAAACATCATGGGATTACCACAGCTTTCTCAGCTTGTGCGTGTTTAATGACTCAACTTACAATGTGAAAACAAAACCAGAGCTACTGGAGAGCAGAAAGCATCTTTAAAAAAAAAAAAAAAAAGGAAAGTTGTGTCAGAAAATACAACCACATGGTTGATACAACATTCAAATTTTAAGACATCTGCATACATATATATACATACACATACACACACACATTCCTAACACGGTTCAAGTGGTTTAGTGTGTGTGTGTTTTAAATTACTGCTCATCTTATTTCAAACCTTTTTAGATTGATGGGTGCATTTTGCTGCATTTTTCCAGCAGTCTAAAGTTTCGACTCATGCCAGTGCAGTATGAAAACTACCTGCAGAGACTTGAAACTGGCTTGAGATACACAATCCATCACAGTGAACATGTAGTCAGCTTCGATTTCAGATCATTTTCAACTGATGTGCACTTGGGCCAACTGATTTATCAAAAGAAATGCCAAATGGCAAAAAACATATAGATCCAAGCAATTTTATATATATACAAATCTCACTTTTAAAACAAACGAAAATCTGAAATTTTGAGATTAGGGTTTCAAAATAACAAAATTACTAATGCAAAAATTCAAAATAGCCATGGAGATGCTGTGCAACAGTGTTAGGCTAGTTATTGGAAAACTGCAACTACTTATTAGACATTGCACATTGGCACAAGTAATTACAATGCTTTCCTAAAAAGTAAAAGGGACATGTGGTATTACAATAGTTCTGCTCATCAACACAGCCCCATCAAAAACGCCTTTAAATGACGAAACAAGACACTGTGATTTAACAAGCCCAACAAATTTGGAGGGAAGCTAGCGGAAGCAGTGTCAACGTCGGCACACAGCTGCGTGGATCACACACCCTCCAACTGTGTAAGCTGACACCTGAATGTACCGGTGGCAAATGTTGGCAAGCCAGGAACCCAAATGACTACAAGTCATGTTTTTTTTTTCACTTTCTTCTACTTCCTGTAACAAACAAGCCAGTCCTGGATCTGTCTGTCTGCTGAAGTATCTGAATAAGTCAGCAAAGAAGCACTACAGAGATGAATAACTGTAATGTCATTTTGAGTTACTGGCCAGCTGTGTGTTTGAGCACATGAATGCATCATGTGGAAATGTGGATGACTATTGGGCAAAAATGAAGGCAAGGTTCACGCTGATGAAAATATCTGTCTTGTGCACATTCTAAGTC